GACAACAAGGTCCTATACAAGGCAAGACTAGTCGCGCAGGGTTTCGCCCAAAGATACCCCGAAGACTATACGGACACCTACTCGCCAACCGTCAGGGCAGAGAGCGTCAAAAGCGCCCTGGTGGTGGCCACCATCCTGGGCTTGGAGGTCTTCCAATTCGACGTACAAACAGCATACTTGCACGCCGAGCTGGATAAAGAAATATACGTCAAAGCCCCGCCTGGGTACAACAAAGACAAGAACCAAACCTGGCTGCTGAATAAAAGCCTGTACGGGCTCAAGCAGTCGGGCAAAAGGTGGTATGACTGCTTAGCCAAGGCCCTCAGATCCATGGGCTTCGAGGCCACCTCAGCTGACAAATGCTTCTTTACGAGGAGAGAAAACGACTCATTCGAAGGTGTGCTCGTTTACGTGGACGACATCTTGTACATCAGCAAGCACAAGAACAGGTGCGACAAGTTCGCCACTGACCTGGGTAGCCACTTCTCCTTAAAGTCACTTGGAAAGATTGACAGATACCTAGGGGTCCAAGTGATAAAAACCAACAAGGGCTTCCGACTCTCCCAGAGAGAAAAGATCATCGAGCTGCTGTCCAAATGCAACATGTCCGAAGCAAAACCCAGCGAGACCCCCATGCAACCCGAGTTCCTGAAGACCATGTATGAGGAATCTGAACCTTTCACAGACAACAAACTATATAGATCAACGATAGGGTCACTGCTGTACATATCCAACTGGACCAGGCCCGACATCGCCTTGGCCGTCAACCTGCTGTCCAGACATGTAAGCAAACCTACGGTAACACACTGGAACGCCATCAAAAGACTACTTAGATACTTAAAATTTAGTGCGGATGCCCTACTCTGCCTAGAACCAGAAACATCCAAGGAACCAAAGCTAACCTGCTATGCTGACGCTGACTGGGCTGGGGACATAGAGTGCAGAAAAAGCACCTCAGGCTACGTGCTACTACTCAACAATTGCCCCATCCACTGGTACACTGGAAAGCAAAAACTGGTGGCCACATCAACTACGGAAGCAGAATTTGTTTGCCTATCAAAGGCCGCAAACAATTTAGTATGGTTCGATGACCTGCTCTGCGACATCTGGGCTGAACCCTCATATCCAATAGTTATCCACGAAGACAACAAGGCAGCGATAGAAATCTCTAGGGCCGATGCCATAGGTCAGCGTTCTAGGCACATTGACATTAAATACAAACACGTCAGGCAGTTTTCAGAGATAGGCTTCATTAGGGCAGTGCACTGTGACACAGAGGAGCAAACAGCAGATATTCTCACTAAACCCCTACCACATAAACAACATGCTTATCTCATGTCAAAAATGCGTGTTTGCTTATAATTCATGCCTGTACCAGTGTATTCTCTGTGTGTATGCTAACACCGCCTCAGGTACCCAGTTAGGCATTTAGAGGGGGTTTTGTCATGATAAAATGCCTAACTGCCATGTCTCCCTGATCCCCCGGACCCTCAAGGGTTAACTAACCACATATCCCATAATCCTTATAACCACTCCTTACCTCTTAACCCCTCCTCCTGGGTACAAAAGGTCCAACCGCATGGTCCACAGGTCATTCCAGATGTATACCTGAAAGAGAAAGGTACAAGGTCAGTGACCTCCAGTACCAACTGATCAACAATAAAACTACTGAAAAGAATTGGGCTATGTCTTTGAGTTATTGGGCTAGATCCAGTTTCTAACAAGAACAACTCATGAGCATGTGTTTTGGTGCTCTGGAGCTTCCCAGAATTGATAGAGAAAAGTTTCAGATCTATTTCCATTGTTGTTGAGTTTGGGGGAGAGGGGTTTAAGGGTATCTTAATCGGGGTGAAATTCAAAATTTTTCTCTACTGGTTCTGTGGGCATGGTGTGGTGGGCGTGGCAGGGGAAGGATATTGCAAAATCCCCATTCCCATCCCACTCTGGGACCAGCCAGAGGTGGTATTTGCCAGTTCTCCGAACTACTCAAAATCTCCACTACCGGTTCTCCAGAACCTGTTAGAACCTGCTGGATTTCACCCCTGGTCTTAATCCTTGTGGACACTCACTCCTCGAAATCTCCAACACCTCCCAAGAGTTCAAGGCCCTCCCTATTTAAGGAGTGTAAGATCTGAGATGTAATGCTAAGACTGGAATGGCCATGGGCTAGCAGATGCTCAATATTCTAGGCCCAAACTCTACATTAGTACAGGAGTAAACAATGTATGGCCCTCCAAGAGTTGATGAACTACAGCTTCCTTTAACTCCAGCCAATACAGATAGTGATATGAAGAGTTGCATGTATTAGATGGGCACAGGTTGGCTATGTGTTCTTTTAAACGCGCATTTCGCTATTCTAGAAACACATCAGTTTAAATACTTTATTTTGGTCACACCGGTAGGAATTTACTGTGCAATCCTGAATAAAACCCTTGTGGTAGCTATAATGTGGAAACTCCAAAATGTCCAGGATATGTTGAACCTATGACTTTTTTTTCCAGAAAAGAAAAGCAATAACAAAAAATAACTGTTGTGGAAATAAATACATGCTACATTACCAGCTGATGTGAAGGTTACATGTAAAGAGTTTAGAAGATGACCTTGAAGGGGAAGGGGAAGTATTACCAAGGCAATGACATATAAACATGGCTTAACCAGTGGTGGGATTCAAGTAATTTAACAACCGGTTCTCTGCCCTAATGATTTCTTCCAACAACCAGTTTGCCAAACTGCTCAGCAAGTTAACAACCGGTTCTCCCAAAGTGGTGCGAACTGGCTGAATCCCACCACTGGGCTTAACCCTCTAGAAAGAGAGGTGTTTATGAAAATGTCTCATTCAGACAGTCCCCCTAATTCAAGAAGATAAAAGAGGAAGGAAGGGAAGTGTATTTAGACTTGCAGGATCCTGTTAATGTGGCCATTCTAATAAAAGTAGTTTTAGGCCTATATGGCATCTGTTTCTTGGTCTGGTCTATCTTGTAGGGCTAACAGGACCAGAGAGGAGAAGATTATCTTAATATTAAATACTGTTCAGGAGATGATATGCATGAGTTTACTGTGCTTCCAAAGCACATAGATCTTTCATTATATATGCAATGTTGACATGCCCAGACTTGTTTTGTTCTTTTCTGTCCGCACTGTAAATAGCTCTGGTTATACAACTACTGTAGAATGTGCAATGTTTATTGCAGGAGTTCTACTATGATTGCATGTCAAAATGTAGTTGCAGTTTGAAAGCAACTACTTGGACAGCTTTCTACAAATCCAGTTTAATGTAGAAACGCTATAGCACGAGCAAGAGAAAATATGATATCCAGCCATTCACATAAGCCAATACAATAAGCTTCTGTAAGGTGTTTTATTTCTTGTAAGACATGTAAGAAACTTGTTGACTTAACCTTGAAACTGATCCAGATTTTCTGAATCCTGGGTCTTAACCTCTATAACATTCTTGTTCAAAAGTGACCATCAAGATGAAATCTGCTATAATCAATTATTATTTTCCGTTCCACTGTCTTAAAAGCTTATATCAGAAACATTACTTTGAGAATTCATAGGATTCTATTTCATTTTACTAGTCTTGACAATACACACACACACAATTTCCTAAGATCACCTTTTTCCACATGAACTGTTTAGTTTATGAATGATTTCTCTTCACTGAATGTTTCAGCATTTCTATGTTTTTAGAACACATGTTTATAATCACAAAAAATTATGAGCAACTCCGAAAGGCTTTATTATCTCTGAAATCAAATTTACCCAGGGGGGCTGGCTTCCAAGAAAATTTAGTCAGGATTAGAAAATGGAATTTGCTAAAGCTCCAATACTTTCTTTGCCATCATTTTCTGTTTTTTCCCCTCCTAAACTTCTGCCTGTTGTTCTTTTGTACTTTGGAAGTTTAGAATGCAAAGATTGTGGGAAAGCAGTCAATCCACAGCAAGAACAAGAGAAGGAGAAATGTCAGCATGACTTCAAGTATGCTAAATTTAGTGGAGAAAATGGCTAATTGGTGGGTCTTCAGATGTATGGAAGAGACCGAGAGATAGAAGAAGAAAATTCATTTTAGTGCAGAGGGTGGAAAATCCAGCTGGCTCTGCTGTGCCATATTTTTATGCAATTTGCTTTTAAGTTTATAACATCTCTGATAGAGAAGGTCCTAAAGAATTTGTTTTCCACTGGGTTCTTTGGAAACCCATTCATTGGAACTCAGTCCTTCCAGTTTTGTATTCCAGCCATGACCATCATTCCATCAAGTGATGCCAATCAAATTCTATTTCTTTTCTTGAGGAAAAATCTCTAGCTATCCCAGTTTATTTCCATTAACAGATGTAAAAACATCTGAGCTTTTGAATGCCACATACTTCTTTGTGTGCTGGAATTTCCTATGAATTCATAGGATTCATCCCCATCCTAGCAACAGCTGCTTCTTCTTCTCCTTCTTCTCCTTCTTCTCCTTCTTCTCCTTCTCCTTCTCCTTCTCCTTCTCCTTCTCCTCCTCCTCCTCCTCCTCCCGGCCCCAATTCGTGCCTATAAATTTGGTTGTAATCTTATGAAATTGATTACATCCTTTCCTTAATACCACTCTAAAGTGGCATTAAATACCTCCTTCCCACTTGCTGAAAGATGAATCCCACCTCTTCCCCGAAGGCCCTTCTAAAGATAGCACAAGCTTTTGTTACCCAATCCAAACCCTTCCCAGTGGCATTTTACATAACCAGTTATTGGTTTCTAGGATTGTATACACTCTTTTCGTATCATGACCCACAACAGGAAGAAATGACAAGGAAAAAAAAAATCTACCTGTATTCCCATTTTCTTCACCTTCTGGCCCAAGATTTTATGAACTCCAGAAAATCTTTCAAGGACTTTTCTGGCCATGTTATTTATCACATGGATTGGGAAAAAAGGAGAGTTGCCAGAGCATTTAACTGCATGTAATTACACTGTATTCCCTTCAGAGGGACTCACCTGTTTCCGTAATCCTTTCTTTTCTCCAGGTGGCACTTACTGTAGGTTGACTGAGGAAATCTGGGAATTAAAGTCTACAAGTCTTAAAGTTACCAAGTTTGGAGACCCCTGCTCTGGAGGAAGAGGTCAGTATTAGATCCTGAGCTCCACTAGTACTAAATGTCTCTTTAATGTCTTGCTTCTATGTTTCACATTCTTCCATCTGATTGCCTTTGCCAAAATTTGCCCTTGTTATTTAGTGTTTTCTTCACTACGGTGACCCTCTTGGAGAGCCTCAACTCTCTGTGGCTTTGTAAAATATGTTCTCCCATCATACTGGATTTGTGTTTGTATTTACACCTGGACATATTGCTCATCTTGTATTTTCTTCAGTAGGAATGCATTTTTCTGGAGTTCCACTGGGATTAGGAGTTATTAACTTTCATAAATTACCTGCTTGGAGGCAAGCAATGACAAATTTCCAGATGATACATTGGTTTGGCTCACCTTCTATATGAAGAAAGCCTGCATTGCTTCAGGCTTTTTAGCAGGTTTGAGGGTTCTCCCCCCCACCCCTTTCTTTTGGTTTGGGATGGGTAGATGGAAGAACATGACTAATTGGGAACGTTATACAAGGTTTTGATGTTCTGCATGATCGAAAGAGGAAAAATGGGTAAAACTCTCCCTCTTTCTCATAATACTAACAACCAAAGCTTTCATGGCAATTTAGGACTGGGAAAAAAAAGAAAATTCTTAATATAAACTGAATGTTCCAAATACCAGGGATAGCTACAAAGTCCAGATGGTGTTAAAAGTAATTAGGCAAAATTCTGGGAGGAAGATTGTTAGTTTTCTTCATGGCTATCAACTATGATAGATAAGTAGATCTTTCAGATTCGGAATAGGGATAAAAACCTTTGTACAAATGACAATATTGAAACACACTAGCATTCTTTCTTCTAGGAAAAAAGTAAATTAAAATCCCATTTGCTCTGCAAAATAGGCATCCAAAAATTCTATAATTTCCTAAGGATGATATAAAAGTGACTGCACAGAGTTTGAAAGTTGTGGTTTACTTAACAGGTATCTCTGTGAAGCCAGCAGATGCTGTGATTCAAAACAGTGAAATCATTTTGCTTTGCTGGCAATAGGAGTTGATGTATGTTCATACAGAAACCACTGTTCACAATGTGGGTTCTTTGATCAAGGAGGATCTCTCTGTCTCTCTTTCTCTTTCTCTCTCTCTCTCTCTCTCTCTCTCTCTCTCTCTCTCTCTCACACACACACACACACACACACACACACACACACACCCATCCATCCATGTCTTTGCTGAGATGCTTTTTCTGGATCAGAGGGGTACAACATGCTTTTAATAAAGTGAAAAGCCACATCATAGTGGATCACCTAAGATCCACATAACTTCAGTAAGTCATACACACACTCACACTAGGGGTGGGTTCTACTTACCTTTATTACTGGTTCGCAACAGAACATGTGCAGAAGCATTTTGATGATGTCAGGGTCAGTGGGCGGAGCCTCCCGCCGGTTTTACTACCGGTTCTATAGAACCGGTGCGAACCGGGGGCAACCCACCATTCATTCACACACACACACAAACACACACACACACACACACACACACAGGAAGGGAGGGAGGGAGGGAGGGAGGGAGGGAGGGAGGGAGGGAGAAAATGAAAGAGAGTTATTGTACATTGGGTAACTTTTAAAACCCTTGAATCAAGTAAATTTATACAAAGGAGGACAACAGGGGGATTTTGTAATAGAAAGGCATACTGAGAAGATGTATATTAAAAACTGCATAAAGGGGCTGTGCATATAAGCTCTGTATATTAGAGTAAGTGTGTAAATAAATATTGTTAATCTTTAAAGGTTTTCGTTAGAGTATCCTAAATACTCAGGAAAATCAAAATTCCGCTCTACTTTGACAGTACTTCCTATACATTTATTTATTATCTATTTCTCTATTCATTCATTTATTTATATTTATCAAACTTGTATGCTACCCATCTCACCAAAGGCTACTCTGTGCAGTTTATAGACATTGAATAAAATGCACTATACATGATTAACAAGGATCTAAAATTTAAAATGCAATAAAAGTGAGCAGGATGGAGAGGGAGCAAAGTACACACAGGGAGGAAGTCAAATGTTATCTACTCCATTAGCCATCTCTAACATGCCACACCCCATTGGAACCCCAAGCCCGTTGGTGGGAGCGGAATGGACGGGGTGGAAGATGTTCCAGCGGGCAGGAGCCATGGCAGAAAAGGCTCTTCTTCTGGATCCCGCCAGCCAAAATTTCTTGACTGACGGGGTCTGCAGCATGTCCCTTCTGCCAGCCCCTTCATTCCTACTTTATCTTTGAATTCCATTTAGGAACCCTCAATAAAACATCCCTATTACATGAACTTTCTGGCATCCAGCTGCCTATTGTACAAAGAACAAGAATGATCTTGATCATCTTGATGATTTGGTAGGAACTTTTTATCATTTGGTGGCTTAATGGAAGGACAGTGGCTTTCTTTTCTATACAGAACAATAAATCAGACCTCTTGGACGAAGAAAAGCAAAGGATAATGAAAATCCTGCAGCCATCGATTTCCCTCAACATTCTCTCTTTTCGTAATGCTGTATGTTTCTCACAGGAACTTATAGATGGGACCGTTCCAAAAGAAAATTCTGATCAGTTGTATGAGTTAAATCTATGGATCTGAATCAAGCTCAAATGTGATACATCAGAACAAGAAAGCTAAGCCGAAAATGAAATTAATGGACCTTTAACATCCTGCCCCTGAAGCAGTGGTGAAATCCAATTGTTTTTACTACCGGTTCTGTGGGTGTGGCTTGGTGGGCATGGCTTGGTGGGTATGGCAGGGGAAGGATATTGCAAAATCTCCATTCCCAGCCCACTCTGGGGCCAGCCAGAGGTGGTATTTGCCGGTTCTCCGAACTACTCAAAATTTCTGCTACCGGTTCTCCAGAACCTGTCAGAACCTGCTGGATTTCACTCCTGCTCTGAAGGTATTTTGGAAAAAGTGAGATTTCACATTAAGAAATCTTTCATATGGTCTAAATATGCCTTACATTTTAAATACCTCCCTGGTTAAATGCAAATGGTAGAAGAGGAATCTCATACGTGGGATATATTTGAAATATTTTCTGTAACCTTCATGTGAGGATCCTTAATTATTCTAAATGATTTCACATACAATAATAGCAAGTACAGGAATACTGGAGAACAAAGTCAACCTAACTTTCCCATTTGTATTTCATTGGCACCATTTCTTCTCCCTCTATGGATGTGTTCATCACAATCTTGCCTTCTATTGAGCAGCAATGACTTCTGCTGCATTCCTTGACTTTAAAACATTGATATAACATGACAGCAATTCATATGAATGGAGCAAAATACCTGCTTGCCCCATGCTGGGGTTTTCACATGATTTTATCTCCAAACTCCCTTCCTAACTTTGAAGGGAAGCAGGCATTAGCTTCTGCACTGTTTCACATGTGATATTTTGATCTGGTTAGTAAGTGATTTGTAGTAGGCAGCCAATCAGGCTGCTTAGATTTCTAAACATTGTTGCAGTCAACAATATTTAAATATCAAATGGAAAAGAGACTGTAATGCTGAGATCCATTTTAATAACATTAACTTCGTACCGAATTCTGTTCCTGATAAATTGCAGCATATTGCTTAAGAATGCATTTAGGCTTGCTTATCAAAAGGGAATCCTTTGTTTTTATAATAATTTTTAAATTAAAATTTCTAATATAACATACAAATGAAAATAAAGATAGCAGAGAAATGAGGAAGGGAAATGGGGAAATAAAAGTGTGGGGTAGGGGGCAAAAGAAGAAAAAAGCATTAACTTCCAACTTTTTTCAGTGCAGTAGAATAAAAATAGTACAGTACAGCCTCAACTCTTTAGTTTTATATATTTTATATACTAGCCATTTCTAAAACAACAAACTTATCTAATCAGCAAATCGCAAAGTCAATCTTTCATGTTTTTTACTGTCTTGGGGCATCCTTTACAATGCAGTTAGGATGAAGAAGTTCCACTTTACTTAACAAGTCTATGCTCTGGATCCAAATTGCTCCCAGAAAATAATGAAATATAAAGAGAAATAATTCTGGATAACTTATTGTATACTTTTCCAAACTATTAATAGGTGTTTAAATAGCTGGGAATCAAATGTGTTAGGTGTAAGAGGCAAAAGACAGTTGTAACTTAAAAGGAAACCTACAGCCACTCCTTTCCTCATACTTTAAAAGATCATGCAAACGAGAAGGAAAGCATTCCCTTCTTTTCATCTGTGGACTTCCATGAATCAGAGAATTTCCACAAGTATTTTGTTTAATCAAAATTGTATTGGGATCCTAGCCAGATTCCCATGGAAACAAAGCCATTGTTTCAAATACTAAAAAAAATAAAAAATAAAGAAAAGAGCCTTAAGAATTTGAGATCTACTGAGGTATCTCTATCCTCCTGAGTAATCAGCCTCCAAGATAATACACAGTACGTGAACTATTGGGAAACCTGAGCAGTACAAACATTAAACATTTTGCTAATATGGTCAAATATGCCTTATACTGGCCATGCACCTATTGGAAATGGATAAAGAGCATTTCTCAAATTATTTTAGGTCACCGTCCCTTTAGTTGTACCAAGTTTTCATAACATCCCTTATCTGATTTTGTATTAATTATAATTTTTTCAATAAATTATTTTTTGCATGTTAATTTTTGCAAACAAAAAAATATTTTAACAACAGGTTATGTGGCCTGAATAAATTGGAACATCCTGGACAGAAGCCCATCAACTGTAAGTTTTGTGGGGGAATGCATGCATGACTTGAGGATAAGATATTAAGTAGGAAGTCTGCTTTCACTTTGCATCAGTACCATGCATGTTTTTACCGAAACCAATTATACAGAAAAGGGTAAGAAAAATGTGGCAATGATGAAGGACTTAATTACGAAATGTATAGAATGTTCATGGGTTTGTGAGGACTGACATGGAGAATCCCATAACATTAGCCGTGTTCCATGTATTCTGTGTCTATGCAAGCAAGTTTCTTACTGCAGCTTGTTGCAATAAGCACAAGTAGTTCAAGCACTTTTTAGCATTGCTCTATCTTTTTTCTACTGGTATATAATTCAAGATTTTCCATGCTCGTTTACAAACTGCAAACAGCACTTTAACTCCATCATCCTGAAAGATTTTGAACAGTTCTGCTTGTATTTTATCTACTTTTTTGCATTTTTGTTTGTTTTTTGTTTTTATAATTAGCAATATTTTTAAGGGTCCACTTACCGGTAACTTTTCTTTCCAGAATGCCAGGCTGTGCTTCAAAGGACAAAGCTATCAATTTTGGTATTCTTTTGTATATTTCCTCTGTGTATTCATGTCATCTCTTTCTGATATCTTCTTTCTTCAGTAGATCTTTGCTCTCTCTCTCTCTCTCTCTCTCTCTCTCTCTCTCTTTTTTTTTTTGGTCTTTTATCCTATTCCCCACTCCTATTTTTTTTGCAAACATCTTAATGGCAACTTGGTTTCCATCAATGAAATTCCCAAGAATTGTAAATGGTTAGAATCCATTTCTAGCAACAGTAAATGGAATGTATTACTGAACTAGTATGTAACACAATCTGGTGCATCTGAAACAGTATCTATGTAAGAAGTAAACCTCATTGAATTTAATAGGAATGCCTCCTTTTGATACAAAATTGCCGATACAACATACCTTTGTAAAACAAATGTTAACAGTCCCAATTCAAGACAAGATTGTGTTTTATTTTTTGTTACTAGAATTTAAAACATCAAGGGGTGCTTCTGTTTTAAACCATTGTACTTCTTCTTTACATTGTAATTTAGCTGAGAAAATACTTTAAAATTTTCTTTTTAAAACATAACACTAGTGCCTGCTAATCAAACTGTATAATTGTACATCAGTTATTCTTCCATTAGGTTAATAGTTTAAAATAAAAAGGTAGTTTATATTTACCTCTATCGTCTTCCAACAAAAGAATTCACATAAAGGGAAATATATCGCAGTTGTTATCAGTTGTGTCAGACTGACATCGCTAGAAAAATATTCCAGGCATTCCAAGGCCTTAATTGGAATGTTTTCATAACTGGACATTTCTAATCTCCTTGGACTTTTGAGCAGATGTTTGTGACTTCAAATAATTCCCTTTCAAACGAAATCACTGGGCTTATTATAATATTTGCAATATGTTTCTTTTGATCCCAATATTGTGACATAGTTCAGGCATCTTCACTGTTTGCATGCTGTTTCTCCAACACTGGTGACAGATGATGTCACTCTGACCTTGATCCAGAAGGCAACTGGTGGGGCACTGGCCTAGGTTTCCTGCTGCTTGAAGTCAGCATGCCTTGCTTCAGAGTTGTTGGATTAGAGTTCCAAAATTGGCAGAACAATAAGAGAGTTGCGGAGAAGATAGTTGGAGGAAAACTTCAGTGATAATAACTGTAGTAATTGGAAGAATTGAGGTTATGCAGATGGTGGGTTGCAGCCTTCGGAAAGGCAGAGTTTGAAGAGCGAACTGGAGATACAGAAAAACAGAGTTTATATGATGCTTACCTTCAGAACTGATTAAGGATAAGAGGCCCTTTGCATGTAGATTTAATATTTTTTGAACTTTTAAAGTATTAAGCTTAAAGTGGAGTGCTACAGCAATGGAAAAAAGAGAAAGAGATTATAATTTGAAAAGTTTTCTACAGCAGTACTATATATAAATATATTACCTAGGGATATGGAAGAAAGTATGTGGCATGTATCTTCACAATTGTATTGCAGCTTATATATAAACAAGAAGAAACTGGGAACATTTTTTGTTATATAGGACATTGTCATTCATTACAGTAAGAAATGAGTGAAAACAATTTTGGACACTCCAAGTTTGGAACCTCAACCAAGAGCCAACATGGTGAAAGGCTTGGAATTTTGAAAACTATAACCTTAAACCATCTGAGGATGCTTAGTTATGGACAAAGCTGTATTGCCTGCACAAAACAGGCATTGCATTATATTATATAATGTCATGTATAAACAAGAAGAAACCGGGAACATTGACATTCATTTCAGTAGCAAGTGAGTGAAAACAATTTTCACTTCAAAGATACAGAATGAGATGGATTTATTCCTCCATTATCTTAACCTCTCAAGAACACTGCTTAAATAGCAGCTATACTGATTTTGAAAACTTTTTCTTAACCAAGTATAAACATCATCTCAGAAAGAAATAATTTTTTACAGCAGAGGTATCAAACTCGATTTAATTGAGGGTTGCATCAGGGTTATGTTTGACTTTGGGGGGCCATGGGGGGAGGCGTGGCCAGAGTGGGCATGGCCAGAGTGGGCGTGGCCAGCTTGACATCACTCATGTCAGGGGCACCTGTGGTGGCCCTAGTGCTCTATCAGTGGCCCTCCTGAGCTCTGTTTTTGCTGGCAGAGGGTGGCAGGAGGCCATCCCAGCCAAAAACGGAAATTGGGAGCTCGTTTTCACTAGCAGAGGCACCTCAGGCTAGTCCTTCACTGTTTCCAGGGCGGCCCCATGAGCCAGATCTAAACACCCCACGGGCCTCATTTGGCCCGCAGGCCTTGAGTTTGACACCCTGGCTTTACAATATTTGAAAGCCTGATACTCATTCCTATGAATTATAATGTTGAAGAACGGGTGCTTCCTTCTCTTCCTCCTGTATAATCAAGGAATAGCTGTTCACCTTTTGACAACATCAGTCTTAAGAGTAGAATTAAATCCAATATTTTTTAACTTTGGGAATATCCCATCTAGGCATGGTAAAATGTATTACCATGTAGCGGTGGTCTGGATTTTTGTAAACCAGATGGATAAGCACCAGGACTCTTCTCACAGTCAATGGTCCATGCCTTCCATCCTTCAGCTGACTGGCATAAATTGGGCCTCTCCCATAAACCTAGGAATAGTGCATTAAGGCCACCAGCAATATCCAAGCATTCTAGACCAGTGGTCCCCAACCTTTTTTGATTGGCAGCCTATTGGGGGCGGGGGGGGAGGAGAAGAGAACTAGGCCACATGAATGGTGGGCTGGCACACATGTGCACAGATTTGCAGTTCAACTTGTGCAAACTGAGCTGCGCGTACATCAGTGGTGGGTTGCCCCTGGTTCGGACCGGTTCGCAAGAACCGACCGCCCCGGATGTCATCATCAGCGATCTGCGCATGCGATCCCATTGCGAACTGGTAGTAAAGGTAAGTAGAACCCACCCGTGGCATACATGCTCATGCAGCCGGATTCCAAATAGGCTACAGCACGGTAGGAAGTTGCAGCCGGGGATTGGGGACCCCTGTTCTGGGCTGTATGGCTGGATTTATTTACAGTTAAAAGGGAAACAGTACTTTAACACTAGAGCAACATAAAATAATTTCAGGCTGCCACTGCAGTGGGCTGAGATAGGAGGAAATTGGGTCATAAGGACACACCTCTTCAAAATGATTGCTGGTTGGGAAATTCTGGGACTCGAAATCCATACATCTTTAAACTGCTAAGGTTGAGAAACACTGCTCTAGTATGACTGGATGTCAACATAATATATGCTAGGTTTATATTTGAAGGTAGCAGTTTTTTTAGGATGGAGTAGCAATACAATCCACTGGCATTTCAGAGTTCAGAGTTTTAACCACTTTTATCACAGCACTGAGAGATTGGTCAATATTGCAGGGATAGTGTACATCTTATGAAATGCTATATGAGAGAACGGGTGCAAATGTTTCTTGAATCTGTTCACCATATTCTGCTATCTTTAGAGATCAAATGTGTGTTGTACATTAATTCATGCAGGTTGGCAGAAGGCCCTAGTATGGTTAGACTAAAGTAAAGCTCCTGCGTCGAAGAGTATCTGGGGTAGATACGAGTTGAAATCTCTCTCTCTTTTTTTTTCTTTATCACATTTTCAGAGAGTATGTTCTGTAGCCAGGGTGACATGGAAAATGTGGTGATGAGAGAACGGCCAGGTTATCATGTCCCTCACTATGTATGCATGTGGATGGAGGGAAGAGGTTGATCAGAAGCAACTTTGCCCAGGGCTACCATACATGATGATGGCCCATTCTTGTTCTGGAATAGGAAGGAAGGAAGGAGCAGACAAGAGAAAGGAATTAAATCCCTCCTGCCACCAGCATTTTCCTCCAAATTGCTTTCAAAAGCTGCCTTCCATCTGGCTAAGCTGTGTGCAGAGCAAACCTTTATCAACCCCACTCAAAAAAATAAACAAGAAAATAGTTTCAGTGGAAATCCCAAAGTGAGAGGAACACAGCATTTTCTCTTTCCGTTTAATTCCACTTTTTTTGATTCCACCATTTTATAAGCTTCTGATCAAATTCTGCTTGGGATCTGCCCCTGCTGGCTCATTGCACCCTGAGCGCTGCCATGTTTGCTGGCTAGCGCTGTTCCAAAATTGTGACTTTGCTTATTAATGATTGTTCTTGCTCTTTTTTTTTTTCCTTATTAGTATTATTTCTGGGTAATGTGCCAATGGCTTCTGCCAGTACTACAAAAATAGCAAGGAGTCTGACTCATTGGAATGAGCTGGCTTCCTACACAATGAGTCTAGCCAGATGGTGTATTGCTCTAATGGGGCACATTTGTAATACTTCAGGCACTGAATTAATAATAGTTAGTTTAGCCCATTGGGAATAGAAACCTAATAGAGTGTCTCCTCGGCATATCTGGCCCCCATCATCGTGATTGCTTTGTGCCTGTGGGGTTTTCCTTGAGGCTTAAGGGTGATCGTTCGAGAATTCGGGGGTTTA